GTCCGTTTCTCACTGTGTCCGACTGCAACCACCGTGTGTCCGTTTCCTACCGTGTCCGTTTGTTACTGTGTCCAATTGCAACCACGGTGTGTCCGTTTCCTACTGTGTCCGTTTGATACTGTGTCCATTTTTTACTGTGTCCGATTCTCACTGTGTCCGTTTCTTACTGTGTCCGTTTCTCACTGTGTCTGATTGCATCCACCGTGTGTCCGTTTCCTACTGTGTCCGTTTGTTACTGTGTCCAATTGCAACCACCGTGTGTCCGTTTCCTACTGTGTCCGTTTGTTACTGTGTCCAATTGCAACCACGGTGTGTCCGTTTCCTACTGTGTCCGTTTGATACTGTGTCCATTTTTTACTGTGTCCGATTCTCACTGTGTCCGTTTCTTACTGTGTCCGATTGTCACTGTGTCCGATTGCAACCACCATGTGTCCGTTTCCTACTGTGTCCGTTTGTTACTGTGTCCGTTTGTCACTGTGTCTGTTTCATTCAACCTGCTGTGTCCGTTTTATTATGTGCGCATCTGGGACGCTCCCTTTTCTTCAAGTTAAGGCAGAACAGCAAGGCTTCCCGCAAATGCTGTTTATTTGGCACAAAACTCGACATCTTCGTTGTTAGAAAAAATATTTTTGCGTTGCGATACGTGTTGGTATTACGACTGATTATTGTTAACAGATGTGCAAGCTATAAAAAACGCAACTTCAGACATATATGTCGACTACATGTGTCGTTAGCGCCATCCAAGTGTGAAACCCGGAAACTTAGTTGCGCACCTAGTATATGTGTGTGTGTGTTGCCTGTTCTTTTCTTTTTTCTTATATATATCAAACGTACAACACATATATATGGGGTGAGTACAAAAGTTCGTGCGGAGTTTCAATAGATGGAGCAATAAGCGTCGTAAAGTGTTGTCATTAATACTTCCATCTACTGCGACGCGATTTTCGCTCGCCGTCGGCAAACGGCCGTCGGTCTACGCGCCTCGGTCGTTCGCGCTTGCACCAAAGGGGTTGGGCGCCAGGTGCAGCGGGCTGCACCGTTCACCAACACGAGACGATACACCCCCTAAGACCGAGACACGCGAATTCGACGGGACCGGTAGCTCCGCGGTATTTTACAGTCGGTAGACGGGAGGGTTCGATCGGGAGTCCGGGATTTAGTCGGGAAGACACAAGAATCGAGACGCGCTTCGCTTATCTCAGTCTTTATTCTTTCCGGGGACCGGCACGATCCGACCCCTCGAAACGGTACCCTCCGCGAGACGCTCTCGCGAATTCGAAACTTGCTCTACGCCGCTAACAAATACGAGACACGGTACGCCCGGGATACCAAAATAGTGAAGCAGGTGGACGGTCTTACAAAGTCGGGAACCTCCCGGCGGCGTGGTCCTTCGCTTTCCTTCCGCAGCTCTGTTCGCTCCTCCGCAACTCTGCCACCAACGGCAACCCCCTGGGCGCGTGGTACTCCACCAAACTTCTCCTCTCACTCCCGGTAAACGGTATCCTTTTGTGTTCGTTATCGGCACGACACTCCTTTTCATAGCGATCTAAGCGATACTCCAAGCGATACTTTTTCCGTATTAGCCTGCGATAGACTAACTATCCCAGAGATAACAGATAGGAGAGAAGAGAGAGCGGAGACGGGAGTTCGCTCTTTTATTCTCCGCCAAAAACAGTGTCGCTCCTTTCTTCATTGTTGTGTCTCGTTACGTTTCTCTCCCCGTTCCTCGTTTCATCTCCCAATACGGGAATCCTTCCGCGGATCTTTGTTGTTGATCCGCAGAACGGGTCTCGGTCTCACTCTCGCGCGTTCTCTCTCTCGCTCGCACTCCCGCCGTCGTGTCGCCTAGGCCGGCTTTGTCTAGCCGGCGTTCACGTTTCGAGCACGGGAACGCCGACCGTTTGGAGCGATATCCCTGCAGGCCTGTGGACAACGAAATCGGCAGCGAGAATCTTTCACTACGATACGGGATCGATAATAATATTCGTAAAGAAACGCATTCACCTGGGGTGGCGGTCTGGCTGAGAGGTGTCGTCCTCTTCCTTCCTCCACTGGTCCCTCCGGTCTTGATGGGCGGCGCAGGAGGTCCAGGGGCACAGAGCTCGGGGACGCGGGACCGTTCCACCTGCGCGCTCCTATTACTAACACTAATTAATGCGGGGGAGGGCAAGGCGGCGCTCCCCCCTCCGTAATACTCGCGCGATGTACTGTTCGCCCCCCCCGCACCCCTGCGTAAGGGCCGAAGGTTCGGCCTGGGACGGGCGCCTTTCCGGCTGCCATGTCACACTACATATTATATAACGTTGGAAAGGTGACGTCTTCAGCTGTTATTAAAAAAAAAATCATTTGTTTTCATACAAACTGCTTCGAGAAATATCACTTTAAAAATGAGTATCAATAAGGTGCATTTACGGCATGTTATGCTTTACGAGTTTCGGAAGGGAATAAACGTTGCCGCAGCCGTAAAAAACATTCAAGATGTTTATCAGGATGAAGCACCAGCTAAACGAACTGTGGAAAAATGGTTTGCTAAATTTCGGCGCGGAGAATTTAACCTTGAAGACGAGCCACGCTCTGGTTGACCTTCTGACATTGATGACGATGTTTTGCGTACTTTAGTGCTCAATAATCCGCGAATTTCAACAGAAGAAGTTGCTACAGCACTAAACGTTGACCGATCAACCGCTTTTCGGCGTTTAAAAAAGATGGGATTCGATTTGAAGCTCGATATATGGGTGCCCCATTTGCTGACCGAGAAGAACAAAATCAAGCGAATTTCTGCAGCCGTTTCTTTACTCGGGCGGCTCAATAACGAGTCGTTTTTGGATCGACTAGTGACGGGCGATGAGAAATGGGTCCTCTACAACAATGTTCAGCGCAAACGGACATGGAAACAATCAGGTGAGCATGGTGACGCAATGCCAAAGGCCAGTTTGCACCCGATGAAGGTGATGCTCTCTGTTTGGTGGGATTGCAAGGGCATAATCTATTTCGAGCTTCTCCTCGCTGGCGAAACGATTGATTCGGACAAGTACTGTCGCCAATTAACCAATCTGAATCGAGAAATAAAAGAGAAACGTCCGATTTTGTCAAATCGCAAGGGAGTCGTCTTTCATCACAACAACGCCAGACCACGTTTCGAAAAAGACGCTGCGCAAACTGAAGAGCCTAAAATGGGATATCTTAACGCATCCACCGTATTCTCCTGATATCGCACCATCTGACTATCACTTGTTCCGGTCATTGCAAAATTATTTAAATGGAAAAAACTTTGACTCTTTGGAGGCCTTAAAAAACGGCGTCTCTTCGTTCTTCGAATCTAAACCGCGCAGTTTTTATGATCGAGGCATCCGTATGCTGCCAGAACGTTGGGAAAAGATTATAGAAAACGATGGAGAATATATCATTGATTGAATAAAGATTTTTGTTTGCCTAATCACTGTGTGACTTTTACTCACAAACTCCGCACGAACTTTTGCACTCACCCAATATATGATTTAATAGAATGGAATCTATTCCTATGCATGTCTACTTCTAACCCAGTGAGAAATAACTTATCATTTGACGTCAAAATGATGTCAAATCAATGTCGATTTCATCAATGTCGGTTTCGACATCGATTTGACATCGTTTGGACGTCGATTAAAGAGTCATTTCTCGTTGGGAAATCTAAACTTTTAAACCTTGAATCCATTCATGTTTCAGTTTCTATCCTTAATTTATTTGCTATTCGCAAGAAGAAGCATCTTAGTCCTCAGGATCTGAAAATATATAATACAATAGCGTCACTGAGAAAAATAGTTCTGCGCTACTACTAGAAAGAACAATTTAAAGCATAGATTATTGCACGAAGCTGAAAGAATTATGAAAGAGAAATCATTTGCGTTGTTAATTATAATTCCGTGATGAACGACCAGTGTCCTTTTGGGGAATAACTACTTCTTCTTAACGTATAGAATATGTTTATTATCCCAATGAGCAAAATGAGTGCAAATTGAGCGCAAATTGGCAGCAAATTCGATCAAAACTTGATGCCAAAACCATATGCAACTGTGTCCTCTTTAGGATTATGTTTTGACGTCAAGGCTTGATGCGGGGCAATTTGCAATAAATTTGCAGTAAAAACCGCGCAAGTTTTGTAGCACATAACTTAGCACCAAATAGGCACCAAACATCGAGCAACACTTGCGCACAAGACACGAGAGCAAATTGGTAGCAAATCCGCAGCAAGCCTTGCACTCAATCAGCTGCTCGAGATGGTGGCGACGTGCGTTGGGTTTTAAATGGCTCCTAACCTATATATTGCTAAATTTTAATTACAATTCTGCATTTAAAAAGGGAAAAGTGTATATAAAAATAAATATTTGACAAAACAGACTGTGTAATTTATTATATAAATATTTATACATATAAGATCACGATATTCGTAATTATCGTTATTTACATGTAAACGAAAGGTGAGAAATGAAATATATGCGGTGGGACATATTGACTTGTGTATTCTATATAATTTCTATATAAATATTTTACAACTATAGGTACTATTCTGAATTTTGAAATTTTGACTACAAATTCATAATCAGCAATTCTAAAAACCTTTAGTAAAACGTGAATTAGACGCAGATTATTTCTAGAAAAAAGTTAGACACGAAAGGGCTAAGTCACATTGCATAAGTTTTTATGTTATGACTACGAAAGAAATATTAGTATACAAAACTATTCAGAATTCTTATTTTTACTTTTCACTACGTGAAACGAGCTAACACGCGCACGGTAATCGTTACATACTACAAGAATTTACGAGAAAAGATTACAAAAAAAGTATCAAAACTTGCGACCAATTTTTCACGCGTCAAGAGAATACTTAGAAGGAAAGATCTCTTTCTCATTTCTTCGCGAGAAGTTCACGACATCGCGTTCTGAATTAACGTTCGCTCAAATATTTTCAGCTAAGAGTCCCGTCTTTTCGGGACTGACGACGATATGGTCCGCCGGCGGTGATGCTGCGCAAACAGTGTGACGCCTGGCGATTTGAAACCCGCATACGCCAAAAACTGTTCCCATTGGGCGACCTAACCAGATATACGCAAATCGTCTTCCACAGTTTCGATAAGGACGGCGACGGTTTCGTCAGCTTCAGCGATCTTCTGGATGCCACAGCATCGATCATGAACGGTATGGTCGATCAGCTCTCTTGGATATTTGGGTGAGCAGTAATCGCTGTTAGTAACGAATTGTCTGATTCCAGGTTCATTTTCGAGCGCAACCTAAAAGATTTTTATTTCGTGTCAGTTAAGAAGTTCGGTTTGATTTTCTGTAACTTCTTCGGGCACAGACCGACCACTTTGTACTTTTTTCTTCCTGTTTAATGATGGCTGTGCAGAGAAAATTTACATATATAATCATTTTTCCTCGGAATCATATCAAAGTTAAAAAGTGACATTTAAAAATGTTAATATTAGTCGCAATAGAAATTTTACTTGATTATTGGATATTTATTAAATATTTGATCACTAATACTTATTGAAGTCAATAATCTCGAAGATCATAACATAAATACAAACATAAATACTCTCTGGACCTACTTTTCATCAAATTCTACGATTTTGATGGAGACGGTTGTATCACGAAGCGAGAAATGTTCATAATATTCGCGATTTATGAGATGGTGCAGGACGCGCAGACCATCCAGCCCGCAGTTAACATCCAAGTGGACAAGTTCTTCAAGAAGACGGACATAGACAGAGGCGGAATAGTCACCAGGGAGGAATTCATAAGCGGTTGTAAAAATGTACGAGCAATTAGTTTGCATAGCGTCTCGCGATACGACATCGTTATTTTAGTGATAATGAATAGTAGAAACGTGTATACATTTTGAAATTTAATAAATATTTTATCTTCTTACAGGATACCATTATATACAACCAGTTGAGTTTATTTAATAAAATTTGGTGACCAAATGAAAACGTCCTTCAGAGATTAACAAGCAATTTATCCACACACGCGTAAAGTCATTAAAATATTTGTAAAAACTCACCCGATTTCTCCTCTTAAATAGTACATACATTCTCTATGTCATTTATCGTGAGAATTCCTGCGCAATGTTACAATCGCAATATCATCGTAAATGATCAGTCCATTTCATTAATATCACATACAAAGGGCTTTCAGAACAGTCTCTTTTGTGAAATGTAAAACACACAGGCGAGGAAGAACGCGAAGGCCAGTGCAAGTAATACTTTATCGGTGACTTCGCATTTATCATATTTTCCTAAGAGCTTTCCCGATTGCACTATCACTTGCTGTTGATGCTCCAGCTCGTTTCTCGTGTTATCAACTTTGTCAGAGGATGTTACTGAAACAAAACAGCAAAATCGGTAGAATCGTAATAATTATGATTAAACAGACAATATATAGTGAGGCGATAATAATAAATAATAATTTATCTAACAAAGAGAAATTACATGATGCAAAAGTAATTCTTGCGGTGGTAACGCTTTTTTTCAGGTGATTCCTAAGATTTGAAGGTCATCTTTGTTTTTTTTAATGGAATGCTGTTTCTGAATTTATTTTTCGATAACAGTTATTAGAAGAAATACAACAACCTATAATAAAGAATGATTCAAAATCAGTTATGATACAAAAAAACATTTTAATAAATTTTATTACATTAAAACATTTTATTTAAAAAATAATTTAGGAAAAAACGATAAAGGATTTAGATTTTTAAAGCTTAGTTTACTTAAAAAATAAAACTTTACTACTATAAGACAATTGTTTCAGTACCATGTATTTTCTGTTAAATATTTTTCTATTCTCATATCTCATATATTCAAGATATTCAAGATAAGATAATAGTTACTGCTTCATTCTGCATGATAGATATCTAATAAATTCCATATTTTTATGAAATGATTCAAAAATATAGTACGTACACAATATGTCCAATGTATCAGCACTTCTCTGAGTTGTCTTAGCTAGATGCCTTACGATGTTGAATAATTTGTCTGTGATTTGGCTAGAAGAATCTGTCAAACTTTGTTTGTCTCGTCGTTTACGAAGAGCATTTTGCCACTCCTCTGGCAGAGAGAGCAGATTTTCCCAAACTAATTTATCTATGACACAAGTACTAACGACATTAGCCTTGCGAAAGACCGCCAAGAACACATTTAATTGCTCCTTATAGCTCTCAACAATGGAAAACAACTGTCTTCTTCTTCTCATTTGGTTCGGTTTCAGCGACAAACGCTAATCGCTCCATGGAGGATTCTAACACTGCAATTTTGGTCCTACCTTCGGCATTGAGTTCGTCTAACGCTTTCTACAACCCAGTGCATTGTTATATCAGGTGTAATAAAAAGAAATCCATTATTTTTCCAATAGATGGCTTTAGTTATCTGTATCTCGCGTTGTATAAGTCCGATTACCTCGTATAGGCGGTAGCTCTATCAGGTCCAAATGGATGTGATTGAATCGGTTATCCGTTGCTTCGATATATTCAGGCCGTGGTTTGTTGTGTCTGCTGACTTTTGATCGCTGGCACGGTAAACACTCACGTGCCCAGCGAGAAACATCTTGGTTGATGCCTGGCCAGATGAATTTTTGTTTGATGCACTTCAGCGTTGAGCGAGCGCTCGGATGAGCCGGACCATGGATGACGTCGAATGCTTTGCGTCGAAGTGGTTGTGGTAGGTACGGTCGTACGATGCCCATCGAGACATCACACCAGATGTCTTCTTCTTCGATTCGAAGGTGGTTCAGCTCGAGCGACGTGGATCTTATGATGTCTGCGAGTTCTGGATCTGCTTCCTGCGTGTTTGCGATGATTTCTGCTGAGAGTGTGCTTGGCATCTCAATTGCGTTGATCCTGGAGAGCGTGTCTGCAACCACGTTGTTTTCGCCTTTCACATGGACTATGTCCGTGGTGAACTGCGAGATGTAGTCCAATTGTCTTAGCTGGCGTGGCGAACTCTTTTCTGCTTTTCTGCTGAAAGCGTATGTTAGCGGTCGGTGGTCTGTCCGTACCTGGAATACTCTTCCTTCAAGTATGTGTCTGAAGAACTTGACGGCACCGAACACAGCAAGAAGCTCTCGGTCATATGTAGAGTACTTCTGCTCGGTTGGAGAGAGTTTCCGTGAGAAGAATCCAAGTGGCTGCCAGTGTCCGTCTATCTGCTGTTCGAGTGACGCGCCTATAGCGGAGTCCGCAGCATCGGTTGTCAGTGTGAGAGGTGCATCTGGAGCGAGAAAGGCTGAGTGTGTGGCAGCTGTCAATGCATCCTTGCATTTCTGGAACGCAGCCTCTGTCTCCATTGTCCAGGGAATCTCTCGCTTGTCCCTCTTCTTCGCCTCCTTCAGGTGTTTGGTTAGCGGAGCTTGCTGTTGAGCGGCATTCGGCAATACTCGACGGTAATAGTTTACCATCCCCAAGAAGCGACGTAGATCTGCGATGGTCTTGGGTTTTGGAAACTGTTGAATGGCTGTTACCCTGTCGAGTGGTGGTTTAAGTCTGTGAGACAATGTAGCCGAGGTAACGCACAGAATCCTGTCCAAAGAAGGATTTGGTCGCATGGACTGGAAGGTTATTCTCTTGGAGCACTCTGAGAACGGTATCGAGATGTTGAAGATGTTCTTCATGGCTGTCTGAGAAGATGATGATATCATCTACGTAGCATGCAGCAAAGTTGATCCCGCGCAGTATATTGTCCATGTGCCGTTGGAACGTTTGCATGGCATTTCGAAGTCCAGGCGGCATGCCTAAGAATTCAAATAGGCCGAAAGGTGTCGTGACAGCGGTTTTGGGGACGTCCTCCGGTGCAACAGGAATTTGGTGATACGCTCGGATTAGGTCTAGCGTGGAAAAGACCTTTTTTCCGTGCAACTGTTGTAAGATGTCCTCTATTCGTGGAATCAGATATCTGTCTGGAACAGTTTGAGAATTTAGACGCCGGTAATCACCTGTTGTGCGCCAGCCACCTTGGTTTTTCTGCACCATGTATATCGGACTCGCCCATTGACTGCGTGAAGGTTGCACGACCCCAAGATGTAAGAGAAAGTCGAAGTCTGCCTTGGCGGCTGCCAATTTGTCACCTAGAAGTCGTCGTGGACGCTCGAACACTGGAGGTCCTGTGGTCTCTATATGATGCGTGATCCCGTCAAAGCGGATCGCTGAAGGAGTTGGCCTTGATGCGAAGACTGCTGCATGCGAGTCCAGTAGTGTGGCATATGGCTCTCGGTGTGGTGAGTTCGGAAGATTGTGCTGACTGGTTGCGGAGACACTAAAAATGGTTGTCTCACATACCTGACCCTGTGTAGCAAGGCTGGTTTTTGGATCCACAAGGCGTTGTCGAGAGAGATCGATGATTAGACCGTAGTGTGAGAGAAAATCAGCTCCGATGATCGCTGAGTTCACATCAGCAATGATGAACGACCATTTTAATGCGCGGCGAAGTCCGAGATCGAGGGTGAGCGGCTGCTGGCCAAATGTGCAGATGGCTGATGAATTGGCGGCGAATAGTTGTAGTTCGGTAGGAGTGAGCTTCCTGTGCACGCACTTCCGAGGAATCAGCGAAATGACGGATCCAGAGTCGACCAGGAACCTAATATTCGTGGTTCTGTCAAAAACGTGGAGTCTTTTCTCACTAGGCGCTGTTATGCTGTCGCCGATTGCCTGTGTCGACGGCAGCGACGTCAGTTTCCCGCGCCATTTGCATTGGTAGCTTGGAGTGTAAAGCTGCACGGCTGCTGGCATCGTCTCGCAGCAGCACCGAAGCGGCGGTGGTAATAGCACCACTGCCTGGTTAGTTGCTGAGTGTTACGAGAGCGCGACCTGGAACGTGTACGTTGACGCTGGGTGGGCTGTCTTTGGTGAACAACAGCAGGCAACAGGTGCTCGAGCAGAGTCGTCAGGTGTGCGACGGACTGTTGCATGGTGGTTACTGCTTCTCCTAACTGCTGAATGGTTTGGGTGTCGGCAGAGGCTGCAGCTCCCAGTCTACCTGGTGACGGTGAATGTGGTGCAGCAACTGCAAGAACTTGGGGTGTAGAAGAGCCTTCCATGAGCTCGTCTGCAACTGTTGAGAGGTCCTCTAAGCGGGTTGTCCGAAGGATCTTGAGGACTCGCTGTATCCCGGGTGGTAGAAGTGCTAGTCAGCGCACTCGCAGGATGTCCTGTGACACTCTGTCGCCTGCCAGTGTCCTCATGTGACGGAGGAGTTGTGAGGGCTTGCGGTTGCCAAGCTCTAAGTCTGTGAGTAAACGGTGGAGCTGCTTGTCTGCAGAATCTGCGAAACGTGCAAGTAACTGCGTTTTTAAGGTGACATACTTGTCAATGACAGGTGGTGATGCCAGGATGTCCGCTATCTCTTGAATTGCTTCAGAGTCGAGTGCACCGATGACAAGGTGATATTTGCCGTCATCAGAGCGGATACGATGTATTTGAAATAAAGATTCTATTTGCGCGAACCGTAGAGCAGGCTGCTGTTTCCAGAACGATGGAATCTAACACGCTGTGATAGATTCGATGACACTGTCGTTGAATGGAGGCCCCATGTCAATGAGCGGCTCCAATTTGGGATGCACTCCCGTGAGGTAGTTCGATGTGACTTGGCCTTGCCGGTGTGCCGGGTGGCTGCTCCGATCCCTTGGACGGAGGGGTGTGATGTAGCGACATGGTGTCTGTTCGGATTCACGGAATGAATACGATTGTACGCAGTTTTTTCTTCAGGCACTGATTGAAATGTGCGTGTGCGGCTGTCGCGATGCAAAACAGGCGCGAAAGAGTATGTAGCACTTGATCAAAAATTTTTACCGTTGTGGAACTGCACGTGTCACACTCACGATGACTGCATGCGCAGAGCAGAGTCTCAGCCAATCAGAGTCCGTCACGCATGCGCCGAAGGTTACCACGCGCACAGCACCGAGTCTTCGACCAATCAGAGTTTGTCACGCATGCGCCGATAGTCACTACGCGCACAGCACCGAGTCTTCGACCAATCAGAGTTTGTCACGCATGCGCCGATAGTCACTACGCGCACAGCACCGAGTCTTCGACCAATCACAGCTCGATTCTGACCTTTTTCGAGACGAAGCTGTCCGATGGCGGCGGGATCACCCGATGCGGACAAATGTTTCCAATTTTTAGGAAGTTTGAATTTTTCCCCGGTCCGGCCAAGGTGAGCCTCAGCCAGAAGGTCCGTTGGAATGGCACAATGTCTCTCTCTTTTTGTTACACTGCGAATCTTGTCCGGTTACCAATTTTAGGTGTCGGGGTCACCAATTTAGGTTTTTTGTGTCCTCTTGCTCTCTCGCCGATGCAAGTGGAGGGTAGGTTCCTAAATTAACCTAGGCGTGTTCTTCTTTGGTCCCTTTATTGCGCACGTGCCTGCCAGCTGCAGAGCACGTGAGTCACAGGTACAACTTATTCGTCTACAATACAGAAAATAGTTCTCTGCGCTCGCACGACATATGAGCCACAGCGGGACTCATATGTATATGTGTGTGTGTCGAACGGAGCCGATGCTCCTGCCTGCCCGCTCTCGCACAATCGCGACCGCGTGCAGAAATCGCGGTGTCACACACGACAAAGAAAGAAAGAATGACTAAGCTATGAACTAGCGATCGTATATCCGTGAGCTCTGTGTGCGCTTCCAACGGTTACTGCTCGTTGGTCTTTTTTCCCGCACGAGTGACACTTGCGCGCGCTCTATAGCGCCGCATGGAAAACGGATGCGTGCGCTTTTGGGGAGCTCAAAGTTCCCACAAATTTCGTACTAAAAAAACTTTTGTGACAGTTTTGTGATTAGTTGACTCAGTTTTGTTTGAGCGCGCGTCAAAGATGGACACTAGCAAAGAGAAAATACGCTATATTTTACAGTTTTTCTTCGATAAAGGTGAAAACGCAAGCCAGGCGGCTGAAAATGTGAATAGTGTTTATGGTCCTGATACTGTAACAGCCAATCACGCGCAATTTTGGTTTCGTCGATTCCGTTCCGGTAATTTCGATGTCAAAGATGCACCACGCACTGGAAGGCCAATTGTCGAAAATATCGATAAAATCATGGACATTGTCGAGTCCGACCGTCATGTAAGCACTGTTTCGATTGCCCAAGAGCTAAAGATTGCACAAAAAACCGTTTGGAACCATTTGAATAAGGCTGGATACAAAAAAAAGCTCGATGTATGGGTGCCACACGAGTTAACGAAAAAAAACCTCATGGACCGAATTTCCATCTGCGAATCGCTGCTGAATCGCAACAAAATCGACCCATTTCTGAAGCGATTGGTCACTGGTGATGAAAAGTGGATCACTTACGACAACGTCAAGCGAAAACGGTCGTGGTCGAATCGCGGTGAGCCGGCGGAAACGGTGGCCAAGCCAGGATTGACGGCCAGGAAGGTTTTGCTGTGTTTGGTGGGATTGGCAGGGAATTATCTACTATGAGCTGCTCCCCTACGGCAAAACTCTTAACTCGGAACTGTATTGTCAACAATTGGACCGTCTGAAGGAAGCAATCGCCCAGAAGCGACCAGCTTTGGTCAATAGGAGAGGAATTGTGTTCCATCAGGACAACGCCAGGCCACACACATCGATAGTGACTTGCCAGAAGCTCCGGGAGCTTGGTTGGGAGGTTCTTATGCATCCACCTTATAGTCCGGACCTGGCACCAAGTGATTACCATCTGTTCCTGTCCATGGCGAACAATTTTGCTGGTGAAAAATTCGCTTCAAGAGAGGCTTGTGAAAATCGACTGTCTCAATTTTTTGCCAATAGGGACGAGGGCTTTTATGAGAGAGGCATAATGAAATTACCTTCAAAATGGCAACAAGTTATCGAACAAAACGGCGCATATTTGACCTAAATCGGATCATTCTAACTATGGTAATTAAAGCCTTCAATTTCATGCAAAAATAATGGATTTCTTTTTACTACACCTGATATGTTGCTGACACTGCTCAGGTAGAACAGAAAATCACGATGACATCAAAATGACATCAAAATGATGAGAAAAACTCTTTTTCTCATCATGATTCGGTCATTTTCTTGTCATTTTGATGTCATGATTTTTTGTTCTACTTGGGTGACGACGAAGTTTTAATAACAATTATATAAGCAAATCCCTATTTGTATGCAAAAGATAATAAATATTATAAAAATCACAACATAAAGGAAATGAAATGGGAAGTGATTGGTAAAGCTTAGACCAAATAGCTAAAAGCTTATTACACCTATTGTAGACCCGGCCTAATGAAAACATATAATAAGCACAAATTAAATTAAGTAAGAAAGAGATATGTATTAGTATAGTATAAGGAGGTATTAAATATATGCTTGTACCTTCCATCATTTTTGCCAAGAGTTTCATTGTACTTAACACCAGTCCACCAGTCATCTTTAATCCTTTGCACTCCGCGCGGTTTCTTATCACTGCCTACTCTGGCAACTCCGGTAGCACTTTTGCAGTGGAGCGTCTGGAAAAGAGAAATTTTACTTTGAACGGGAAACATTACAAGTGCTTGTAATTTCAAAAAGCAACTAGAGGTATTGATGTTAATACTAGAATGTCTCCACAGCGGAGCCACCGGAGTTACGAAATAAATGATGGATGTCTTCACAGCGGAGCCAACGGAGCGCTAAGGGTTAAATTCAATTTTACCTATAGTTATAAAATATTTATATAGAATCAGGATACATGATTTCAACAAAGATGAATTTTATTGGTATAAGATTATTTTATAAATAATAATTTTCTGCTGACCAACATATAAAACTGTAGGTCTTCGCTTTCGTTGATTTGGAACAGATACCTCACAGCGATCTCCAATTTTACATAGACTGATTAAACGTCCTTCTACCTCCTCACGTTTTTCTCTTCTTTTTCTTTTTTTCTTCGTTTTTACTCTTTTTTCTCATATCTTCTTCATTATATTTTCCTACTTTGTTCTTCTCAAGAAATGCTTTGACAGTATCTACAATATAAAACATAATTATAGATATTTACCTTTTCACCCAAGTGTGGAAATGATACGTGAGATATCCTTTTAAAATACCACTTCTACTTTGCAGTCTTCAGAAAGAGATGGACGAGATGAATCATCAGTTGCAACGAATGCACAAGTTAATGTCCCACCGCATATATTTCTCGCCTTTCGTTTACATGTAAATAGCGATAATTACGAGTATCGTGATCTTATATGTATATATGTTTGTATAATAAATTATACAGTCTGTTTTTGTCAAATATTTATTTCTATATACACCTTTCTCTTTTTAAATGCAAAATTGCAATTAAAATTTATCAATATACAAGTTAGGAACCATTTAAAATCCAACACACGTCGCAACCATCTCGATCAGCTGATTGAGTGCAAGGCTTGCTGCGGATTTATTGCCAATTTGCTCTCGTGTCTTGTGCGCAAGTGTTGCTTAGTGTTTGGTGCCTATTTGGTGCTAAGTTATGCGTTGCAAAACTTGCGCGGTTTTTGCCGCAAATTTACTGCAAGATGCTCCGCATCAAGCCTTGTTGCACATTTGGTGGCAATTTGCCAGTAGAATTTGATAACATAAAGTTTGTTAGAAATTTGTTGCCTATTTGCCATCAACACTTGATGTCAACTCTCGCGCGGAATTTGTTCGCTCAGGTTTGGCTATCTGGGATATCTTTCTGCGACACTTACAAAAACCAGTACGGTAGAAGAGTATATATATATTCTTGAACGCGTGTAGAATGGCAAGTTTTCAATATCACTAACTAAAATCACTAGAATCTAGTAGTTTAGCCAACTTACATTTATCATATACAAAATATTATTATCTCAACACCCTCTTTTAATATTTTGTACAAAAATTAATAATTATACTCTGGTTATAATATTATTTGGTTGATATTAGTTGCACATACATGTATTTCTTATATCTAACAAGGGGAGGACGCATCGACCGGGAAACGGTTTGGAACGAAACTTACGGAGTTAATAGTACTTGATTACTAATAACTCATGGTAATAGCATACGATGCAATACCTCTTCGTTTTCGAGAAAAAACGGTCTAAAGAAAAGAGCCAACAAAGTGTACGAGTTAGTAAGAGAAATATTCAACGAAACGGCGTAGCATAGCAGCGAAGGTAACGAACTACCGAGCTGACGGCTGAGGTTCGATCCCTGTTGTATAGTTTTTTTTATTCTGTAAGCATAAAAATGAAACAGAAAACATTAATAAGTAATAAAACTGCGTTTCTTAAATATATTAGTGTTTGTTAAATATATTATTAATGATTTAAATTGCAAAAAGACCGTAAATCTTATCTATAAAATATATAGTGTATGAGAAAATTTTTATATAATAATTGCAATGGAAATAGGAATAAAAATATTGTTATGAAATATATAGGAATGCTATTATCCCTTTGCGGTCGATGCCGCCAGGTTGGCATTCATGATTGCCTGGCATGCGGCACGGCAAATGAGGCTAACGATAATGAAAGAAAACTATCCTCCCGATGCTAGATTTAAATGTTTAGATCAACTTACACATATCCATGTTTATCGATCTCTTCGAAATCGGCCGATCGCAAAGGGTTAAACTAATGAGATAATTTTTCGTAATCTTATATTGTGTATATAAAATATTTATTTCTGTTACAACTCTCTATATTGTGTAGAAGTCGTGTTGTGTTGAAGTTGTGTTGTGTCTTTATCTCTTCTGGCAATCCCCCTCTAGAAACTTCCTTTGTATCATTCTAAACGATCGTTAAGAATGACGAAATAATTCGAGCATCGGAACAGTCGTCAGTAGAGCAAGCAGCAGTGTGCGTTTACTAGTGATACAGAGCAATTCGGTGATCATATTTAAATTACATATATCATAACAATGTCAGAGAATCCTTCAACAAGCAAAATAGTTGATGTAGAATCGCTAAAAGAAAGATCTTTTGAAAATGAAAATTTTAAAGGTGAATTCACTAATGCTCTCATATATGCGAATTCTATTTACGAGAATAATGAATTATTATCGAAAAATCCTCCAGCGAAAATATAATATATTTTTACTCCTATTTCCATTGCAATTATTATATAAGAATTTTCTCATACACTATATATTTTATAGATAAGATTTACGGTTTTTTTGCAATTTAAATTATTAATAATATATTTAACAAACACTAATATATTTAAGAAACGCAGTTTTATTACTTATTAATGTTTTCTGTTTCATTTTTATACTTACAGAATAAAAAAAACCATACAGCAGGGATCGAACCTCAGCCGTCAGCTCGGTAGTTCGTTACCTTCGCTGCTGCGCTACGCCGCTTCGTTGAATACTTCTCTTACTAACTCGTACACTTTGTTGGCTCTTTTCTTTAGACCGTTTTTTCTCGAAAACGAAGAGGTATTGCGTCGTATGCTATTACCATGAGTTATTAGTAATCAAGTACTATTAACTCCGTAAGTTTCATTCCAAACCGTTTCTCGGTCGATGCGTCCTCCCCTTGTAAGTTCATAGATTATACCCTCTCTAAAACTCTAATCCTAAAGCTTTGTAGGCTTTACAAAATAACGTGTTTGACAAACTTTTCGTTAATACATCTGCTTGTTGTGTCTCGCTGCTAGTGTATTCAATTTTTATGGTATTACTCTTTACATTTTCGCAAACAAAGTTATATTTTAAATCTATATGCTTAACTCTACGATTATTTTCAGGATTTTTAATTAATGAAATGCATGCTTGATTATCCTCGAATATTAAAAGGTAAGTAATCATTACGTTCAAATCTAATAATTTTTTGAACCATAATCCATCTACAACTGAACTACATAATGCTATAAGCTCTGCCTCAGTTGTAGACAATGCAACGCATTTTTGTTTCCGAGTAACCCAAGATACAGTATTTCCATAAACTTTTATAACATATCCCGAAACTGATTTCCTATCATGCAAATCTTCTCCCCAGTCCGAATTCACATAACATATTAATGGATACTCTTTATCTTTTCGAACAAACTTTAAACTTAAATTCGCCGTTCCTTTTAAATAACTCAGTATCCTTTTTAAATAGTTCCATATTTCGTTTGGATATTTATCTTGATATCTAAAGAATCTGAAGAAGTTAACCGAAAAACTCAAATCTGGGCGTGACCCCAACATTAAATACATTAAACATCCTATTAGTTCTTTCACTGGCTTGTTTATCTTATCATTATTTTCATATTCATTCAGTTTTAATCTTGGTTCCATTGGTGTCAAGCATGGTTTACAGTTTTCAAAATTAAATTTCTTCAGCATTGCTAGGATATATCTTTTCTGATTTATTTTTAGGATACCTTTCTCTCTCTCGTAACTAATCTCCAATCCGAGAAAATTCTTAAGTTCTCCTTTATCTCTTATATCAAATTCGTGTGTTAGCTTAGCTTTGTAAATTTCAATATAATCTAAATTTGGTCCAGCTAATATTATGTCATCGACATATAATAGTAGATAAATTACTTCAGTTTTATGGACTTTCGAATACTGGCAATAATCATTGTTAGACTTTTTAAATCCTAAGCTTAGCAGAAAATAATTAATCTTAGTATTCCAACACTTAGATGATTGTTTCAATGCATAGAGTAACTTAATCAGTTTGAATACATATCCTTCTTTATGACTTATTCCCTTAGGCGGATGCACATAAATGTTTTCTTTTAAATCTCCATTTAAAAAGGCTGTTTTAACATCTAATTGCTTAAAAAAATATTTGAACTGATTTCCTATAGATAATAAGGTTCTTATAGTTGTCATTTTAGCGACAGGTGAATATAATTCGTCGTAATTAAAATTTTCCTTTTGAGCAAAACCCCTCACAACTAATCGTGCTTTATATTGATCTAACTGGTTCCTCTCGAAAGGTTTATAAGTATATACCCATTTAGTATCTAATATTTCTACATCCTTAGGCTTAACAACTAATTTCCATGTATTATTCTTATTTATAGATTCTATCTCTCTATTCATTGCTCTTTCCCATAGATCTCTATCTTTTCAGTCACTTAGATGATTATAATCTTTGGGAACTTATTCTACATAAGATAATGCATCAAAAGCCATATACATTTCATAATCATCAAATCCTTTTGGTACTTTTCTTTCTCTCTTGCTCCTAACATTTACCTGTTCTATTGACTCAAATTGCAAATTTTCGTTTACCGATTTTTCCTTACTTTGGCAACTGTCTTCCTTTACTGCAAACATATCTTTAGTTCCAGTCTCTTTAGTTACAGTTTCACAGTCCTCTATACTTATCAATGTTTGATTCCTTCTGTAATAGAACATATTTTCGTTAAATACGACGTTTCTAGATATTTGAATATTTCCTTTCTCAACGTTCCATAATCTATATCCATTTTTTGTATATCCCATCATTAAACATGTTTCAGATTTTTTATCAAACTTATCTCTAAATTGCTCTGGTATATATGTGAATAAACAACTGAACCAAAAACTCTTAAATTTTTAACATTTGGTTTTTCTTGATACCACAATTCTGCAGGAGTAACTGTATCTAGGTTTACACTTGGACTACGATTTAAGATATACGCAGCTGTCAGAATAGCCTCATTCCAAAACTGCTTAGGAGCATTTGAATCGCTTATCATGGATCTTGCTTTTTCAACTAGACTTCGATTAGAACGCTCAGCTTTGCCGTTCAATTGAGGTGTATATGGTATTGTATAATCAATGATCGTTCCATTGCATCTCTGCAATAATTCTTGAACAATACTCTCTCCTGTTATCACATCTTAAAGTAGATATTTTTTTATTGAATTTAGTTTGTATCATTTGTGCATATTCTTTAAAACAGTTAAAAACTTCGCTCTTATTTTTAATTATATAAACGTAAATCAAATTCGAGTAATCATCTATAAATGTTACGAAGTATTTCTTGTCATCATATGAAGCTGGACTTATTGGCCCACAAATGTCTGAATGAAC